TCTCTCTCTCTCTCTCTCTCTCTCTCTCTCTCTCTCTCTCTCTCTCTGTTATCTCAACCGAGTTTTAATGCAGCTGAATGTTGAAACGTGTGTTTACGGTCACAGTAAAACAAAGATATTTCTCATCAGCGAGGTTTTCGTCCGGTTCCCATTCAGTTACGTTAACTGCAATTATTTTTCTTGTGCACATACACACGAAAACGAAACAATTCCATGAGTGTGACTGAATTGTCTGTTACTCGGAAACCAAATAAGAAACTCGATTGTAGCAACAGAGAGATTCCTGTAGGAGGAGGTTTCTACATAGTTCTCTCTCAGTTACCTCAATCCAGTTTTAATGCAGTTGAACGTTCAGACATACATTTACGGTCACAGTAAAACAGAAATATTTCCCGTCAGCAAGATTTTCGTCTGATCTCCATTCAGTTTCATAAGCTGATTTTTTTTCCTTGTGCACGTACACACAAAGAAACAACTCTATTAGTATAACTGAATTCTCTGTTACCTGGGAACTAAATAAAAAACTCGGTTGTGGCAACAGAAAAATTCCCGTAGGAGGTTTCTATTCAGCTCTCAGTTATCTCAACCGAGTTTTAATACAGCTGAATGTTCAAACGAATGCTGACAGTCACAGTAACAGAGATACTATTTTTTGCCAGCGAGTTTTTCGTCTGGTCCCTATTCAATTGTGTGAACTAAATTTTCTTCTCCTTATGCATGTACGAAAAAAATAACTTTATTGATATAACTAAATTCTCTGTTATCTGGGAACTAGGTGGGAAACTCGGTTGTGAAAACAGAAAGATTCCTACAGAAGGTTTCTACTCAGTTTTCAGTTATCTCAACCGAGTTTTAATACAGCTGAATGTTCAGACGTTTGTTTACGGTTACAGTAAAACAGATATTTCTCACTAGGTTTTGATCTGGTCTCCATTCAGTTACGTAAACTGTAATTTTTTTCTTGTGCACGTACATATAAAAAAAACTCCATTAGTGAAACTGAATTCTCTGTTACCTGGGAAATCAGATGAAAAACTCGATTGTAGGAATAGGAAGATTCCTACTCAGCCGATTGCTGCTTTCAGTTTCAATGCAACCAAATGTTCAGACGAATGTTCTCAGTCGCAACAATAGAGATATTACTTCTCATCTCAGCGTGTTTTTCGTTTGCTCGCCATTCAATGGCACGAACTAAAATTTTGTTCCCGTGCAGCTGTACTTGAAGGAGCGCTTTCTGCACGAAGAGCGATAGACCGACGCGAGCTGGATAAGCGCAGCTGATTTGATCCCTCGCCCCCGATCCTTCGAAAGACCGTCATTACGCCGCAACCCATACACGTTCCGCGAGATATAAAATCAATTTATCATGATACTCGTGCAACGCTCTCAATAATGTCACGTAAATTGGATTGACCTCGGTAGGGAAACACAAATATTATAACTTCATTCGCAAGTTGTTATCGGGTTGGTGATCGAAGATCGATCCCGATGACAAAAACTTGAACGGAAGAGTCTCCGCAGATATATCGCGGAAAGCTCTTAGAGAGCGATCAGAGCGATCGAAGCGATCCACGAGTCGTCGCTTCGGATCGACGAGTCCCTTCGTCGCGGCAGAGGGATTTTAATGCACCCTAAAAGCGGGTTGTAAAACAGTGCATTCGCGCTCTCTATCGCATCTCCGATTAAGGTCCCGCGGCCAGATACGTAAAGCCGAGTTATAATGTAACGAGCTGTGCAGTAAATTCCGAGGATAAGACCGGGATCGAAGGACGGCGATAACAATTACGACGGCAGGATCGTCCGGATGCGTCCTAATTTACACAGACGCATTGCATTATCTGTCTGGTGTTTCTTTTCGCGTAATCGACAAGTTTAAGATCGTGTGGTAATGCCGCGTAATTGATAACGTCTGTTCGCGAAATAGTAGAAAATAATTCGCAGCGAAACGGCTACGGAAAACGCCCTCGTGCGGCCAACGAACTGGGACCGAAGGGAAAAAAGCGGGACGAAGAGACACAAAGAGACACTCGGCGCGATCGCGTAACACGGAGCCGACAGACGATATAAATCGATTAACCCGCAGCGTCCGAGAAATTTCACCGTGGATAAGTATCCCGCCTCGGCCGCCTCGTCCACTCGTCGCTTCACCTTCCTCTTCAGCCTTCCCCTCCTTCGCTCCCTTTCAACCTTACGTACTTGAGAAAGCCGAGAAGCTGCAACTACACGTCCTCGACATGTATATGTGCACTTAGCGAGTGTGCCTGGGAGGTTATCGAGATTACATCTTCGCTACGAAGCGAAGCGAGATTAAAGTAAGGAAGGAGAAAGAAAGGCAGAAAGAACATCTTTTAAATCTCTAATCGCCAATTTATGCTAATTAAGACACCGCGGCCTCGACGGGCGCTAAACGCGTCCCGAAAGCACGAATTGCTTTCAATTTAACTCGGTTTCATCAAGCATCAGCGGTTGATTTAATTCGCGCAAATATCGCTCGTCCCTCGCGAAACATTTCGGTGAATTAATGTATTCGTCGGAGCGTAGGCTGCTACGCGTCCAATAAAGAGTGGGGAATAATGCCCACAGTGGGTAACAATTTCGCTAATTCTGCCCGATTAAAGCAAGAGTGGCACATTAAGCCATCATATAATTTACACCAAGGACGCGCGGTCGGCGCTGCTCGAGATGAAAATCGTTAGACGCCGGTCTTTATCCGAGTATACGTGATAACCCCGTGACTCCGCACGTGACATCCTTCTTCCCTCCTTTGGCCAAGTGTAGGGTTTAATTGTTTTGGTACCTGTTCCTCGTTATTTCGGAAATTCACGGCGATTAACGGCTGTCGCCTGTATCCCGTCAGCGAGCAAACACCGATGAGCACGCACAGTAAAGAGACGCGCGAAAGCATTTTGGAGAGCAAGTTGCACTTACCGATAAACAAACACCGAGCCAATGATGAAAGCGAGCACGACGGAGCTCATCGATACAATGGAGACAATGGCGTATCCCGGGAGAGCTGTCGAACATTAGTCATTTAAATGAACGAAAATACTGTAGCTTTTCTCTTCGAGCCAGCGCGTCGTAGTGTTTCGCATGCTGCGAGAATTTGAAATTGTCATTACAAGCGCGCGCAAAGAAGGCTCTCGCAGGAATGTTCGAAACCTCCGGCGATCTGGCTGATTGTTGAGCGATATTAACAAACGGCAATCAATGCTCACATGAAACACGGATATCTGATTATAATCGCGCAATCGACCGAGCGCTTCTTTGTGTGCACGAATGTGTGTATGTGTGTGTGCTCGCGCGCGCGTGAGAGAAGAAAAATATTACCAACTCACAATTATCAGGACATAACGAGCCGTCAAATCCACAAGTAGGCGTATCCGGAGGCGGTCCTAGACGTCCACCAGCCCAGTGAATTTGCTTCCCAGGGATGTACTCCAGCGTTTTATTCGCGCCGTAATAATTAGCCACGATCTGCGGACAAACGTTCCATATGTTGTGAGGTGAGCAGCGCTGGAGCGAGGAGCGAATTCGCGAATACGTTATTAGAGAGCGAAACGACGCACACGAATAGATAATAATGACTGTGAGAGATGGCTCATGTTCGATCTTAGCTCGACACACTAAACACGTTAATACCGTGCGTCGGAGGTTGAATTGCGTCCCAGCTCGTCAATAAGATAATCAGATAATGTTACATCATTTCCTCGACGAGACGCAGAGACGTCTTACCTCGAATTTAGAAGTTTCCGGATCCATGTCCAACAGAGAGTAATCCGCGATCCTGTCGCCGTTCTCATCGATGTTTACGTCTCCGGTTATTCCTGAAATTAAATTAATTAAGGTAAAAGTACTAGTCCCCGGACGCGTACTTAATCCTAGACATTTTTATCGTTTAGGTCTTTAAATACGAGTATTTAAGCCTTCATCATAGTATACATGTATATATTCAACATATATATATATATATATATATATATATATATATATATATATATATATATAAGAGAGACTTGCCGATATCGTACTAGTTCCTAATATCATATCTTATCAATCCTGAAATATTCATAGCACACATAAAATAAGACATGATCTGAATATTTTTTGTTTACATTTCTCATTGCTTATTTATTTTTTAGTTCTTACCGTTAGATATGCCATTCCTATCCAATAATAATAAAGAAATCGATGAGGTACGATTGTGATAACTGCCCCTACAACTTATATAATAAAAACTTAAATATTCGTATTTAAAAACCAAAATGATAAGAATGTCCAAAATTAAGTACGTGTCCAGACATTGACACTTTTATCCTAATCATACATACGCGAATTATCATTACAGATTAGCGGTGTCAACCAGTGAGTTTTAATATCGAAAAATCAAAAGCTTATCGGCAACGTCGACGTGCGATTACGCGATTCTTTGTTCTCTAAAAATGTCGCTTCACGAGATGGAAAAATTTCGCGCGGACGATAGCTATAATTCGAGACGACCTGTAAAAGTGCAACACTCCGCGAGAATACACGCAAGACACGATGGGGCGAGAAGCACGAGACGAGATTGGAATACAAAGAAAACTGACGATCTAACATTTCGTTGATGTCAGCTATCGACTATAAGCTTTCCCAGGGAAAATCAAGAATCGCAGACAGGACGAAATAGCGCAAAACACGACACGAGAAAAGCGCAGCTGGTTGCGAGAATCGTCCGGGACAAAATCGCTAAAGTATTTCGAGAAACATCAGACAGATCCATGCCCGAAAAATTTACGGAAATTTAAGTAATCGCGCGCAGGATCGCGTAATAGCACATAAAACTTTAAATTGAAACTATCGCGAGCCAATCAGGATAAGATGCGGGCGAGAGAAGGAAGAGCAAATGATAGCGTATATAAGTCGATCCATTAGTTACTAGTTTGTTCAAATATTAATGAGATTGATTTTTGAGAACCCTAGAACCCTAAATATAAAAAAATTATATAAATCTTAAACATGAGTAAATTTTATCCAGTGCATTTTCATCTGCTGATAATTTCTAAATCAATCGAAATTCAATCCTTTTTCTTTTAATCGGTGTAAAAAATATCAAGGAATATGAATCTACTAATGTTTTTGCATATTGTATTCAATAAAGTTGAAAAAAGTTATAATAGAAAAACAAAACACATCTTTCTAAGAACGGTAAAGTTTGATATACTATTTGCTATGTTCAATGTGCTATTTACTTCCTGTTTCTTAATCACTATTTTTTCTGGCTAAAATTTAAAAGTTTAAGCTAGAAAAAGATAAAAAGAAAAATACAGGAAACAAAGAGTATATTGTAAATTTGAATTTACACTTAAAAAGTTTGATAAATTTTACGTATTTAGTGTTCTACGATTAAATTGTATAAAAAACATTTATTTAAAAATATTATACCTATTATTCTACATATCCCCTCAGAAGTTCGAGACATTTGTCCCAAATTTCTGGAAATTCCTTTGTATCCTTTTCGAAGAAGATTGTTGAGTTGAATACATACCTAGTTTTACACATTTTGAATAACTTTTAAATAATGTCTTTGTCCAAATAAATCACACCACTTAAAGACTTGAAATCTTGAAAAACGGTCGTTTATAAGCGGTCGCTTATAAACTGCTTTTTAAGCCTTCCGTAATTTCGGTTGATTTTATAAATTCTACATACCACAAAGACAATTTCGAGCAGATACAAGAAACAGCGATAAATTTTAACTCTATGATATTTCTGAATTTTGCCTGGAGCAGCAAAACATTGTTCTAAGTGAATGATATTAAAGAATAGCTCAGACTATGACCAACATTATAAAATATTCGTCAGTTGATCGGAAAATTAGAGGATCACGTTTATATTTGAACAACCTGGTATAAGAGCCGGGAGGGTTGCGCTGGTGTCAGTAGCAGCTTTCCGTGAGTGATGCTGATACGCCGATATAATCAATTATTTGGCCGTTCCGGCCGAAATACATCTAATTAACAAGAGCACTCCTGACTCTTGGCGTGCGACAGAAACACCAGTCGCCCCTTTCATTGTATAAATTCGAGTATCAGTTTGTCGATCGGGATTCACGAGCGAACGCATCGTCAGCGCGATGCAATGGCGGATAAATACCGGCGAGGAAACGCATTATTTTCCCCTCCGATTTCCCTTCCGATAAAAGTATCAAGTTCCCTAAACAATTCAAGGATCGTTTCTAACGGTGCTCCGCGCGCCGTTCCGTGACATTTTCAACAAATACACGACGACGTGAAATATTCCGCTCGATACTACTCTTGAGATTTCCATAAATATCCCACGATTAATCGTAACGCGATTGACACCGATCCGACACCATCGAGAGATACTTTTTTAAAGTAAATCAGTGAAACATCATTGAAAGCAGTAAATATACACTGATTTGCTGCTATAAGTACAGCATTGAAACTGCTCAGTGCTATACTTATAACTGATATCAGTGACTATTCACTGATTTACTTTAAGAGAGTACGATCTACGTGAGACGCAGAAAATTCTACACGGGAGATAGTCGTGTCCCATCGATTCCGACGTTCCTCTTGGCGTCATTTCCGCCGGCACGAGATCTCGGACATGTAGGCGAGGATTAAGGGGAGAGGCTAAAGTTTACCCTTGAAACTCTTTCCCCACATTCTCCGGGTCAGATTACCGCCGTCTAAGTTGACCTCACCCGCCTTCTTCGGTAGGCTCTCCTTAAGGGCGAGGGCATAAAGCAGCACGGCATCGTAAAACGCCGTCACGAAGGTGGAGACTGAGCTGTTACCAAAGGTGAAGTTGTATTTGCTCTGCGCCAAGGATTTAACCTCGCGCGAGAAGTTGAGGTACTCCATGTTGTCGGGCGTACGCGCCGTCACCGTGAGCAAGGCCTGATAAGCCTTTCGGGCTTTCTCGTTTCTCTCGTCGGTGTCGTCTTCGACCCTCCACGGTTCTTTGGAATTGTTGTCGCTGAAACACACCGACGCCGATTTTGTCGGATAAAAGCTTCTAAAGACGCACGACGTTTCCAAAGAAAACGGATTCGACGGCTGAGCGACGTTGACAACGCAATAATGCAGCTTTATGTCGAGAATCCAACAGCGGATTGAGCGCGGAAAATTTTGACGTTTCTCTCGAAATATTAAATTCAAAGGAAGATGAAGTATAGATACACAGAGAAAATATCGTGGTTAAAATTACGTTAAGATTATATCTCACTTTACAATGTTTTTTGCAAAGCTGAACTACACTGACGTATTGCGGTGCACAAAAAGAAACGTTTGATTAGATGAGCCAATTTTCTGATGAAGTATGAACAATTCAGAAGTTACGATTAAAGTTATCAGAATTTGGTCTGAATTATCAAGATTTTCAGTTCATTTAAGGCTCCTTAAATACTCTACTTGAATACTCGCCGCGGAATTCTTGATCGATAACGTCCGAAACGAGAAAATATATGTCCAAGATTTTTGCGTGCCATTTCCAAGTGAAAATGTTTTGTGTGAAAGAACATTTCTGATCTATTAAGTGCACTTGTAAAATGCTGCGAAAATTACCCTTCATCTTTGACAGTCAATAAATAGCCGTAAAATTAACGTGACAACTACCTTCCTCTTCACCTACCTTTTCTCGCCATTTTTCCACGTTTCTTTTACGGCTGTTTATTAACTATAAGTATTCTTTCATACAAATATTCGTTTATTTGGAAATAGACGCAAGAATTTTTAGCGCGTCATTTTTCGCCTCTGAGGTCGCAATCCAACATGGCTGCGGCGAGTGTTTAGGAACTTCAAACAGAATTCGTTCATACTTTTCATCAGAAATTGGTTAATCCAACTTCAAACTTTCCAAATTAAACTTTTTTTCCACTTATAAATTACCATAGAAATAGCAAATTTAACAATCTATCGAATATACGATTATATGTATTATACAAGGAAATACATTTAAGTAATTATAACAGTTTTGTAGTAAAAACGTACGCTATATTTTTCAATAAATGTATACCCGAATAACATAACTCTACTAAGAGATGTCTTAAAGACTATCTCTCTTAAATGTCTTTTTCAGATGTCTTTAAGGATATCTTTTAGTAATTTGTGCTCTGTCTGGATAGTAATTCCAGTTATAATTCTTGTTCAGTTCTTAATTCTGTTCAAGATTATAAAATTTGTTCGTAATTTTTGTTGCAACATTTCCTCTGTGTACATCTACTACTAAAGCTATTTCCACCGACACGTTCTTTTTATGTTTCGGTGAGATATGAGTTATTGAAGTATGGCGCGATCGCGAACAGTTTTTTGGCAGCAGGCTCGCACCATAGCCCGAGATCGTAACCTTTACTTTACGACGACCGATCGTTACGATATAATTGGGACGTATAAAATACGCCCCAACTTAACGAATGTAAGGAATCGAAGACTCAGGTTATAAAAGGACGAAAGTTTACCTGGAGAAGCTAAAGTCTTTCTATCTGTATCTCTGTCTCTCCCCCCCTCTCTCTCTCTCTCTCTCTCTCTCTCTCTCTCTCTTTTTACGCGATTAACTAAGATAATGTTACCGGAAGATCATCGCAGCGGCAGCGCCGTGAGCGTCTTCATCGACGTGTTTATCTTTTGTCCCGCGCCATCCTACACGCTCACTTCCGGATTTAAGTCGAGCGAATAAATCCAGCGTAATTTTAAATCAATCTCGCGCGGAAATTCGACAAAAATTCGAAGCATTCTACGGATAACTCGACGTTCCACTCGGCGCCGGGAACGTCGAAGACTCGATTGTACAAAAGGATGGAAGCTCGCCGGGAAATGGTAGCCGGCTCTTTGCTTAATGAACGCAACTTAAAAAGATGTACTTTGTGTCCGTCATCCGCGACGGGCTGGTTGTTATCGGAAGGCTGGCCAACTGGGACTGAATTGAATGAAAATTCCAATTACCATTCAAGTCACTCGGCCCGGCTGTCTATATCGAGGTAGGACATAGTTAAACTACTTTCTCGTATTTCGCGCTCCGTGTTCCTTTCAATCTCGAGTCGAGTCGGATCTCGTTGTCGTCCGGAACCCAAATTCGCGCGCGGAAGTTTGCGCTCGTCGGCTGATCCCTCTTCTGTCCGACGATGTCGATAGTTTTGTGCAAATACCAATAATAGATACACGAATGTCTATATCCCGACTCGATAATCTAAATGAAGGATCGCGGTTTGAGGTTTCCGATATCATGGGTTGAATTTCACTCGACCTGAAATGGCACAATGCGCTTTATTAACGAGAGATAGAGAGGGAAACAGAGAGAGAGAGAGAGAGAGGGAGAAAAGAGAGAGAAAGAGGGGAAGAGGGAGAGAGAAATGAGCGAAATTATCCAAGGGAATATCCAGTAATAATAACAGTCTTGTTTACCAGAAGCGACCATTTACATCGCTCTATGATAAAACGTAACGAACCGCTATAATGCGCGAAGTGTACCGTCGGGATCGTTAAAATTCAAGATCCTCCAGCTATTCCATTGCGATTCCGGCTGCGGATACAGAGCCGTCGGCGGTGGATAACGTCGTCCATAGAAACGGGAACGAACGCGCTCGAAAACGCGATCGTAAGAAACTTACGACCGTGTGGAATCACGTATTACGCGCACGACGTCCTGGGATTAGCAATTTCCCGGGGCGACGCTCTTCAAGGCCTCGTTAAATAACGTGATTGCACAATACCCGGCCCTTTGTACACACGGCATGATAGGTACGTAAACACAGTTTATCCAGGATCGATGAGTCGAATGTGCCGCCAACAAACTGCCTCGCGATCTAACGCGAAACGACCGCGCAAAAACGACGAGTAAATTAAGTCGATAACCCTAATGGACCCGAATTTGGTCCATTGCAAAGCGTGGATAATGGATTAAGGCGCGCGCGAGCCTCCAGCGAGGCGAATACGGCGTTGTCCGACTTTCTGGCTATATGATATACATCGTGCTCAATATACCAACATTAGTGTATTATTCTAAACACGTTGAACTAATCGCGGAAACGCTGCGCTTCCGAACTTGCTATCTGTTTGACCCAAATGATTGAATCAACGTCGAGATGTACCGTGTAACGTCTGCGATCGCTGGGGAAAAACATTGGAGAACGTGGTCGAGTAGCCCTTTACCGCGTATAAATTACAGGCTCCCGGGCGAGAATAAATCTTCCGACGCAAGAAAGTCACTCATGATTCAGCGTAATACGCCGCAATATTCCGTAGACAGGAAAACAATCATGTTCTACGTGAAACGAGCATTCTAGACCACCACAAAGACGCGTTCAGCATTGTCGGATCCAATTTTAATCCCTTTCTGTTCGCCTCTCGTTTCCTCTCTCGCGCGCCCTCGCGCAGTCGCCGAAGACAGGGATGAGTGCGACGTATTTCATGCCAATTTTCCTTCTGCACGGGGTCGCGCCATGTTGCAGCGGCTACACATTCGTTTCAATTATAAAATGGCTTTAGTGCCCCGGCCATACGCGCTATTGTACAGGCACCTTGCTTACGCCCCAGAGTTTTGACATGCGACCCACGGATTTCGCGCAGCTATATAACTCGCTTTTGTATAATCCCTCGCGCGCCATTACACGGCGCAAACTTTCCCGAATAACGAGCCCGAATTCACAATCACGTCGTTAAATTAAGTACGATATCGCTCGAAATTTATGTCCGACGCACCGAAGGAAAAGTCTGGCGATGTAATTAACGAATGCATTTGGTTGAGTTTTCAGTGCGACACTTGGTAATTGGTACTCGAACACGACAACAGTTCACAGCAGTCTACGAAGTAATCAGCAAAACAAATTCTTCATTTAGTTGAACTACTTGATTGGTCTGGCAAATGTAGAGTACCAAGTGATTTAGTAATAATTGCTAAATAGTTCGATTATTGTCGACGTATTTGATCGTTTCGCACATTTATCACAAAATGTGTAAGTATTACTAAACAATATAATTGTACTTCTTAATTATTGTCAAATTATTTCGTATTATATTCGCCAAACCATTTAATCGCTTCAGCTGAATGAGAAACTTTTTCTGCTAATTATTTGGCAGCTATCTCTCTCTAATATTAATTAATGACGAAACTGAAACGCCCAACCAAATGCGTCTGCTGATAAGAAAACTATTTTTCAATGTAATTACCTCGCGCATTCGGACACTCGTTCGCGCGTGTTTATTACCGCTCTTCATTCGACGCGAAAAACTTTCGCAACATCCTCCCATTCGCGCCATAACGGATAACACACGCAATTACTTCTCGCAACAGTGGAAAGTCCAAGTTTACTCTACTCACCTAGAGGAGAGCTCTATGGAGAAGAACACGTACTCCCCCGAGTCCACCATCCCGAGCTCCTCGGCAGCCAGCAATATTTCCCGGATGGTCGTTGAATTAGCGCACATCACTACGACTGAAATAAAAGGAGAAAAAACGATTTCTCGCCTATGTGTCGGTGTGTGGGTGCGGTATGAGAGCGGAAAGTGCGTGTGACTTGGGGCGGGGAGAGGGGAGTGGGGGCGCAGAGGGAAAGAGTACACCAAGATCTATATAAATATTATTGCGGCCGCGCGGAGCGCTTTATGCGATATGGGCTCGACTTAATTACATCTGCAGCCTACTACATGCAGATGCGACGCGTGTATGTGTCCATTTGATTCCCACTAATCAAGGCAGAAATAGTCGCCTGTGCCGTAACTGCAGCGAGCGTCGCATTTCTTTAATCGACAAACTTGAACCGCTTATCTCCGCTTGTGTATCGTTTTTCGCACTGAAAAACGCGATTGTCACTTACCGGCGATTGACTTACGGGTAATTATCCGCCGATGTGCTTGCCCTACTGGAAGAAACAGAAAAAGAGAAACGGTGAAGCGCGTTCGACGATTAAAAAAGATTAAAGTGCCGGACAGATGGCACGTATATTGACATTTATCTTCGTACTGGCACGGCCACCACTTCGACAATTCTGACAATTATGTCTAGCTGCACACGATAAGCAACGCCGCGATTATGCTGCGTGTAACCTCAGCGATCTATAATCATCATCCTCGCGTGTATCCCGCTTCGACATCTTTATCCCGGCTTAACGCGTGCCCAATGCGGAAGTCCGCTCGATATGTACAAATCGACGAGAAAGGGAGAATAAAGAAATTTCACTCAGCACTTGGCTTCACTTGGCGTTCGATGATTAAAAGAGACCGGGCAGATGGCACATATATTGACATTTATCTTTGTATTGGCGCGGCCACCGCTTCGACAATTCTGACAATTATGTCTAGCTGCGCACGATAAGCAACGCCGCGATTATGCTGCGTGTAACCTCAGCGATCTATAATCATCATCCTCGCGTGTATCCCGCTTCGACATCTTTATCCCGGCTTAACGCGTGCCCAATGCATGAAGTCAGATGAATGTGTACAAATCGACGAGAAAGGGAGAACAGAGAAATTTCGCTCAGCACTTGGCTTCACAGCGGAATACTTGCTCTCGCGGCCGATGCTTCAAAGTCACTCCCTACCTCGCCGGCCCGCTTTCGCATGCGGATCTTATCCGTTCAAGAACCTATCTCCTCGTCGTCGTCGTCACAGTGAACTTTGCCACGTGTTGAAAGTATCGCCCAGATAAGTCACCGTGTCGTGCCGACGTATGCGCAGGCTATAAAATCCGCCGCAAATCCGGAAAATCTTCTATAAACCGCAGGCGGTTCGCGCGCGTTTCATTTCCACCTGCATATCCCGACTCGTAAACCCTAGCCCGAATTTCATATAAGCGGAGAATATTGCGCGAGGAACGAAGGAAAAAAGAAAGAAGTAACGTGAAGAAAATATAAACGTGTACTCTCTCTCGTTAAACTCGAGATCACGCGAGGGCAGTTTCTGCAGTTATTTCCTTTCCTTCCTGCGCTCGCGGGTCTCTTCTAGAGCAAGTGATTTCTCTTTTGCTATATTGCGAGAAGGAGTGATACTTAAGTGTATCGTGAGCAATTTATTGTACGGCTACGTAAGTCGGAGATAATTGAGATCCGCTCTTCGTCGTTCTGGAGCACATTTTAATGCTCTACAATGGCACGAGAAGAAATCCGCGTTCAGATTTATGTATAGTTTCAGTGACTACTTGCATTTTTTACAGAGAAGAACAGTTTACTTATTGATCCTTTGAATAACTCACGTATAAAAATTGTCTGACATTATCACACAATTAGACACTCGTAAGAAACAAACGTAGGCTCAAGAATAATTAGAATATCCACACGCGGGCGTCTCAAGAACAACATACACGAGCATTGCATTTTCCGCGGCTGTCCGTATCGTTGCACCGCAACACGCCGAGCGAGATATAAACATTTACCCGAGCAAAGTCGTAATCCAGCTTTTACGACGAGTCGAATGCGCGCTGTTAATTGGCGCAACGCGCGTACGCGTCTCACCGAGCCTGGACTCATCAGAATATAATTCGGCGCGCAGACATCTTGATGAAAATTAATGAATCCAGAAAATTCCGTAGTCTATCAACACGTCGTGTTGAATTACGAGATTAGCCTCTTTCCAGATTTTCGTCCTAAATTGGATCGAATTTAGCTCTCCTTTCGTTCAGTTGATCGATTTCCAAGTATAATCAAAGGAGACGGTTGAGGTGTCTTTTAAAATAATTTTTGACAAGCAATCTAATTATAAAAAAACCGTGTTGGGGGGGGGGAGATTAATCGAAAAGCTTGATTCAAATTTTGAGTCCAATTTTATTTCGTTCACCCAAAAGAAAATGTAATTTCGTTCTTAGTGGAATCCTCTAAAAGAAAATCAAAAAGAAAATTTTCTAAGCATAATATTATTCCTCTTCAGTAGAAGAAGGATACTCTTTCGGGAAGAGTTTTTGCTTGGAAGAATATGCAACTAGAGTGCCTGTTTTTGGGTGTTCAAATATTTAGGCAAGCAGGAGAAACTTCATGTTCAGGTGGCTCTTGTCTGAGACAATATTTTTCGTAACATTAAAAAATAAATAAAAAAATTCATAATACAAATAATTATAATGGAGTAATAAGAGCAGTTAATTAACATAAATATTAATAACTGAAATTCGAGGTCGATTTAACACGAAGAAGGTAGATTTACCACGTACTCTTTGTAAATCTGAAAAAATATTCGGCGCGTACATTAACACTGTCAAATATTGTGCTGTCCTCCAATAATTTAAATATTTGACAAAAAAGATACGGTGTACGTAACCAAAGATTGCAATTATTGCGAGTTGCATAGTTGTATCACCCTGATTATTTTTGCATGATGTTGATATGACTCAGTTACATTAGTACATCATCTACATCAGTGTAATAGTTGCGTGTCATCCGATTGTGGCAATCAGAAATCGGTTGAACTGACATTTACCGTGCATACACTCTGGTTGAAGCAACGAGACACCGTCACCGCAACTCAACAATTGCTCTGTGGTTACAGCAACCACATAATCAGTATTTCACTGTTGAATCTGTCTAGTATGACCAGATTTATATGTGCGCTATATTGTTTCCTTCTGTGCGCCAACATCCACATTCGATCTTTTCTTGTCTTATTTGTTTTCCATTTAAATTGCACGCTTTGAGAGCCTGTTTATATATAGCGAAATATTTTCCTCTTGGTTCTCGACACCATTCTCTTGCCATATACATTTCTCGAGGCCATATATATGAGGATTTGGCCAAGAATAAAATCAAAATTTTCTAACTGTTGCATCCAATAGAAAGAAATTATTCATCAACCAGTCAAATCGCAGTCATCAATAATCTCTCGTCAAAGTATTGGCAACAGAATATTATCGATATTATCATGCCTGCATTCACATGTGTGCGACACCATCTGTTAAAAGTCAAAACGATCTTTCGAGGGATCCAACAAGCTGTTTGTGACGGAAGCTATCGACGACAGTGTTTCTTTCTCAATGCCGCTGCAGTTTTCAACACAATACAAAACTCTCTTTCCTGTTCTCCGCTCTCCCAATTTGCCGATATGCCGTTTATTGTCGATACATTCCGCGCGCATTCCGCATCGCGAATACGCGATGAAGCATTCCATTAATTTGATACATCGTCGGGTAATAAATTTACGCGCGCATACGCCGTTATTTATTCATCACATACCTCGCGCATACTGTCATATTAATGCGTTATTTCAAACGACACATATTATTTCGATAGCTCATTGGGAATGCATTGCGCGAAACGATATCGTTGCGCTATTACAACATAGGTCGATTCTACTCTGATTCTCATCAGAGTTGCTCGTCGTTTATACTTAACGCCGCCGCGCGTATCGCCGACGACGGCCAACTAGAGCCATCGTCACAAAATGTGATCATCACAAGGGCTAAAGTTCGCCCGATTATGCGGCCGCATATCGTAATCCGGGCATAAAGATGTCGATGCGCGCCTGCCAGCCAGATTTCCTCGTTTGCCGCGGCTGTGCGCTCTCGATTAGTCGAGAGTATCATTACCGTAGCGCGCCCAAGTCTGGTGGAGGGCGAACTTTTCATCACAACTTTTTCGATCCCCTCCAGATCCAGGCAGGAGGGGGAGGAGATTGGGAAAAAATCAAGATAAAGAAAGTTCACCGCTCGACGAGGTAAGTGGAGGCCCGATTAAACAATCGCCGAGTCAGCCGCGATAAAAATCGATCCGCAAGAGTCTCAGGTGCGATTCACGGGGGCACGAGAATGGCGTGATAAACGATCGAGCTGTCGAGAGCGTCGCGAGTTACATCGCTCGAAAATCCCGGCGAGACGGTAAAAAGCAACCGAGTTCTCGCGAGACGAACGTGCACGAATCGGCGGTGTGTGTCGGAGGCGCCGACGCGACCAAAATGGCCAGATCGATGTTACATGACGCGTCCGCATAGCGGGGAATAGCCTCATTATCACATAGATCGAATCTTCTTACTTCTCCTTTCTGCCTCGTTCCTCGCCCCCGCCGCCGCTCGCCCTAGTCACGCGGTTCTTAAGATAGTCGTTCTCGAGTGCCATTAAGCGTAAACCTGCCGTGTAATTTGCCGCTTCCGGCACGATAACGTGACCGCGCTAAGAGTAGAGGGCGATCTTGTGATGTCTGTTCATCATCGATAGTGGTTGCGGTCGCGCGGCAAGGTGATTTGAAGAATGCAATGTAACAGAAGAGTTAGTCCCATTCCGCAATAGGTATTTCAAACCCTAAGCTTTAAGCTTTAAATTATGATGTATTTCCGACCTTGAGCGTTTCCCGCGCTGCCCCAATCCCTAAGCCTTAAGCGAGTTGGCCAACTCCCATCTTTTGAAGCTCAGGACTTGAGGTTTAGAGCCGGTATAATTGCTCCAAAGCATAAGGCTTAGGAAACAACTATTGTAGAATAGAACTCATGCAGCGCGGTGCGGCCGTTCTCGCCGCGCGACGGACGATATATCGCGACACACATTCGAAATCGACGTTAATATCGTTTTCACATCGATAAGCCGGAAGATTAGCGATGCCAAGAATAGACACGGTTTCGAGCAGAGCGTCTAGATTAACTGGCCACGTTCGACACGAGAATCAGAGATATCCTGTTATCTCGGGCCCATTTTTGTTGTCCCGGCTATTTTCGGCGCAATCACGTGAGGATTCAACGAGACGCGAATCTTTATATCGTGAAAGACTCGAGGGCGGACGGCAAGAATCCGATAAGAGAAGTTTGAAGCTTCCTTTTCAACAAAAGCGGAAGAATGCCGATCGACCGGCAATTCGTGGCATCTGCCAGTAATTTAGCATGGATTGGTGACGACGCTTGTGGAGAGCGCTGCGTTCTCCGGTTAATGTCAAATTCTCGAAAATTGCACGGTGTCGAGCGATTTCGAGCGCTCACAATCAAATACCTCACGATAGTGCTTCGGTCGTCGTCCCTCGCGATCGGCCACTGCGATTCACTATATCGATAATAGTTGTTTGACGACAGTAGTTACGAAGGCTTTCTATCCGTGAAAAATTGAAGTTACAGGATACGTTAGTCGTACACTCTCACCTTTGGTGTTGGCCATTAATCGATTAAAATTTTCTTTAACTGATATAATCGGCAAGTCAATCATCCGAATTAATCGATAGTTATATATCACGTCGCACAAATAATTTCTTCGATTGATGAAATTAATTACTAACCAACTTTGCTGTAATTGATCATATACTGATTACTAATTAATTTTATTGATCGGATGAAATTATTCGTGACTTATTACATACATAACGAATGATTAATTTTCATTATTGATTTGAGCCGATTATTTAATCAAAGGAAATCTTCATTGATTAAGAAGAGATTCTTACAGCTCAAAGAAACTTTTAAGTAACTTTTTTATATCTAAAATAATGATAAATTGTCCTTAAAACACTGATAAATAACAAAACTCCATATTAGTATCTTTATTCATTTTTCTTGGAAAAATTTTGTAAGAACCCCTTATTTTCCGGCTATATAAACCAGAACTTCTTCTTCAAGTCCAACACTGGTCTCCTGTACGCTCTTAATCTCGTCTACAAAGAGATGTTCCTCGGATGATATATCACGTAAAGTTTTTATTAAAAAATATCAAATATCAAACTTTTAAATCGGTTTTTCTGAAAGTGTCATAAATATCAGTCGGATGCATTCGAGAATGATCTCGCTCGTAAGGAAGAAGTGAAAACTTGAAATTCATAATCGTGGCCAATAAATCCGTAACGTTATCAAGTAACTGGGTCGAAAATATCTACATCTTATCTCGCGGAAGTCGCAGAAGCCGTTGCAGATAGCATCAGATTGAAGAGACACACTCTCTGCAGCCTGTTTCATCTATTGAAGATAAGTCTACCGTAAACGTCTCTGTAATGCGATTTAACGACTCAGGGACGTCGAGAGCGACGGAAAACGAGAAACGAGTGCCGTTCTCAAGACGCTGCACCGAATTCGTAAGAATCACCTACGCGATACACGGCGGAAGGTGTCGTGCGTAGGAGAGAGGATGAATTCGATTTGCGCCTCGGGATTTATGGCATAACTGAGTCATCGCGGCGTCTCACGCCGGTACGCGAAGCACGATAAATTAATTACACGCGAAGAAGAACTTTCCGCTTCGTTACACCCCGCGGCGTATTCAATTTCCACGATACGCGCGAAATATTTCATTATGCCGTAACCATAGCGTAATGACTTGGTGAGTTTGCTCACCGGCGAAAACTCCTCGGGACGTCTTTCGGCAATCACACCCGCGGGATAAAGCAGTTAATGCAAATTTAGCGGACGCGACGTTCGGATAACGCGTACGAACTTGGCTTAACAAGTTCCAAGTGTTAAACGTGATCAAGGCGAGAGCGCATTTGTAGAGGCAAACTTCATAAATGCTATCAATTAAATGAGGACGTTGAAGTTCAGCGTTCATTATCAAGCCCCATTTCACGTCGTAATGTCGTCCGCCTAGTGGCGTGCATTATACTACGTCCACTATGTCGACTTCGGTAAAAGCTGATTGATTTTAGCACAAAGTTCGCACAAAGCGGAAGACGACACCCGAAACTACTTGAGGTGTGCTTCGTTACATTACACTATTGTCAAACAGAAAATTGGAGTAAATAGAATAATTAAATTACGGAAATCATTTTAATTATGTAATTATCCGAAAGAAAGAAAGAGAGAAAGAGAGAGAGAGAGAAGAAAAATCTAAATTTATCCAAAGTACAATAATGCCTTCTTGAAAGAATTTCCAAAGAATTTCATCATATATATGAGTAGTACCTCGAGACATACATTCTTTACATACGCATTTGAATGAATCCCGTGAATAGCAAAAATCCTATTTCCGTTCTAACGCAAGAAAATAATTTTCCGACATTCCGTCACACACGTTTTCGTATGTGCGAAACGATTCAGATGCAATGAAGTCTCACCAAAGTGTTAAAATTGAGAGTCATTATTGACGGGCTAGTTTATCATAATATTAATTATTGTTATTATTAATTATTATTAATATCATTATTAATTGTTATTTGGCATTACTAATTATATTATTATCGCACAAGTCCGTTAGTAACGACTCAGTTTGACAGTTTAATGAAAACTCCCAACTTCGTGGTGTCTTACAACCGTTTTGCAACTCATTGTTACATCCTACATACACCTAATAATGGTCCCATCTTCCATATTCACCAAGAAAATATTAATATTTCGAATTTCTTTAATGCTTTCTCCTTTGCTTCGCGAAGGAATCTCACGGCGAAAAAACGAGTCAACTGACAAAGGCGCTTCCTCGGCAACACCTACAATACGATAGATGATGCGAGAGAGAAAAAGAGAGAGAGAAAGCTTTATTCATTGTGCGTTCTGAGACATCATCCCCTCAAGCGCATAGATTACAGAAATATAATATAAAAATAAAAACAAATAATATATAAATAAATATATATATAAATTATTGGAAGTGGTTTATAATTCGAATATTAATTGACATAAAAGAATAATACGCAGAGAAAGCAAAGACCAAAATACGCAAAAAAAGAAAAAACAAATAAGAATAAACACAAAAACATATTTGTTTAGTGAAAATCATGTTATCTCCTCAATTTACAATATTTAACCCGTTCTATTTCAATCAGTACCGTTGCGCTCAAGCAGAAAAAAGTAAAAGTCGATTTTAAATTCATTTATTGTGTGTTACGAATTTTTTACGAAAGAGAGAGAAAGAGAAAGAGAAAGAGGAAGGTCGCTTTTCTAAATTAATTTCTTCTTTCGCAATGTATTCGAATAATGAGACTTACTCCTTGCGGATTTCGAGACGAAAGTCAGCAGATTCCTGTAATCCTCGGCGGTAGTCGTCTCCTGGTTGAAGCTTTTGTGCACCGGCGTCTGGTTGAGCGCCGTGAAAACGGCGCCGAGCGTGAAATGGCACTCGGAATTGCCCCTGCTGCTAGCCATCGCGTGATTGTGGAACAGCAGACCGGCGATTTTCCATCCGAAACGCCGCAGGATGTGTCTCAGTGCCTCGCCCACCAGACGATGGGAGCCCATCATCCTGGTTAACGTCGGATAATGCTCGCCCTTGTGACGGAACGCCTCCGCTTGCGCGCCCGCCGTCAGCACCGGTATACTCCAGACACCCGCGTACCTGGCCACAGGTGCGATCACATAGTCGCACACGGGACCCAGGAAGGCGTCTGTCGCGATGCAAGAAGAGAGAAGTTCGCAAATTGATCGCGCTTACTTCGATACTTGGTCGGTTTCGCTGAGTCAGTCGGGAGGCCCATCGCGCGTGAAGTCACGGCGGGAGGTTTTAACACGCCTTGTTTGAAACTGGGTCGAGATCTCGAGGCCGTGGAAAATCTCGCGTCGAGAGTTTCTTTACTCTCTTACGATTGCTTGGCGCGCGCGCGATACCGACGCTCGATTACTCTTCGCAATTGTTTAACGTTTTTACGTTTCACTCGCTCATACTTATCGTGCACGCAATGCTTGCTGTCGAGTGTATCGCGCGTAGAGTTCAAATCATCGCTCGCGCGCACTTGATCAGGTTGCATGCGTGCATGCGAAGTGGATAACGCAAATATCTGAATTTACGACGAATATTGGCTCCACGCTTATAATCCTATTAGGACCGTATGATTTCCGTACATCGATAACGATGTACATTGTTTAGTCAGAAGATGTTAGTCGCGCAAGACGCGACGAATAGATCACTCGGGCGATCGATATATTGATTGGAGAGGTGCATGTGACTAATTAAATTAGACCGGGATATTTCGCGCTCGAGTGTGGCTCACCGGATATACTTAGGGCCGTGTTAATAATTGTTGCTTGAAATTTGTTTTAAGTGAGATTTTCAGATCTGAGTTTAGGTCCGTATTAATAGTTATTTCTTGAAACTCGTCTCAAATGAAATACCCGAATTTGAATTCAGAGTTAGATGAGATTTTTTCAGTGGAGTCGCGCGATTACAGATAAGTATCGCTTATCTGTAATTATATCATAATTTAACTAAAAAATTTGGATCTAACTCTAAATTAAAGTCTCATATGAGACAAGTTCCAGGCGAAAACTGTTAATACAGGCTTTAGGCTTTAAGCCTGTATTAATAGTTGAAATTTGTTTCAAGTGAAGTATTCAAATTTGACTTTAGATTTAAATGTGAATTTTTCAGTTGCCTCTCGGGATTATAAATATAATATTCTGTCATATCACATATATGATAGAACTTCAGATATAACTCTGAATTCAAATCTGATCTTGAATTCAAATTTTCCAATTTATGAGACAAGTTTCAAGTAACTAATAACGAGCCTTACAGTTAACAATTACTAATAACGAGCCTTACAGTTGGGTGTTTTTTAATGGAATAACGTTTGCAAATGTAACATTTCGTATGTCATACGATTTCAAAACTTGGATTTAATTCTAAATTGAAATTTGAGTGTCTCACGTAAGACAAGCTTCAAATAATTGCTATTAATACGCCTAGGTAGCGCGCTGGAACCAATCACGGAAACGTCGATCGCTTCTCTCGGGGCATGCTCGCGACGACGAAATTAAACTCGAAACGTCCTCGCTACAGCTGATACGCGACGAGGGTAACGCCATTTCTGTAGACATGGCACGACAAATATCCGGCGAAACGCGCTTGTATTTTTTCTGTTGTCCGTAATAACGCACGTGGAAGTCGCAGCCTCCGTGGTGCAGCCGGGACGCGGTTCGTCTCACTATCGTGTGTGTGCAATGTGTGTTTTGAATACGCGCGCAATTAAAATCTCGATATCGCGTCCGTGGTTGGCTAGACAATGCGCCACGTGCAACATGCACACGTGTGTACCCGCCGAGATAATAGAACGCGTCCGCTTTATCTAATTAAATAGATCGTTACTCGCTCAACGGAAAAAAACGTGCGCGTCTATTCTTCACTGTGTGTCGAAGCGACCCCATTAATCGCCAGAAAACCCGTGCAATTAGCACAGACGTTAACTCTGTAAAAATAACCAAAAAGATCTCGTCGAATCGTTTTGGCGTGAAGTCGCCATCTGGCGAAATAAACCAAGTCGCGAAGACACTACCAGTAAAATTCAAGATGTAAGGTAAAAATATCGACAGGTGCATCTAGGCCTGGGCATTTTTATTGGCCTTTAAATATGAATATTTAAACTTTCAGCATAGAATATATGTACATATTAAACATGCAGGTTATCCCACTTTAAACAGGTCAACTGAACATCTCCAACACATACATAAATTCGCGCGCACATCATATTGTTGATGAAAATTAGCAAAGTTACATTTTTCATCGTTACATACTCCTCAGATGAGAGTTTTTCAGTTAAATTGCGACTATAAAAATAAATATCACATATCTCGTAATTTATCTGAAAAGCTTGAATTTAACTCTAAATAAAAATCTGAGCGTCTTACACGAGACAAGTTTCAAATGCCAACTGTTAATACAGGCCCGGGTAGTTATTTGTGACAGGAAGAAAGGAAAAATATGGCGCGCGCGTATCGCTCTAACTCCCATTTGGTGCCGCACCAAAATAAAGTCGCACAGCATTTCTTGTAAATAGCCACAGTACAAACGGAAGGTTCAAGCGTGGGTTTTCCCAACAAAGAAGCTCACTTCCTCTAATCGCGCTGGTCGCGGGCTCTTCATCTTGATTTGTTGGAGGTGAAACCCGCAACAGCGCGTTAAACCCGATCCCCGATTCCGCGCGCTTGCCCGCAAGCAATGTACCGCCTCTGTGCACCAGCGACCCAAGGTCCTAATTAGCAATCACGGATGATATTACGCTACCTCGCCGCGTGAAGGCAAATATCACCACGAAATAACCGTGCAACGACATACACGTCCATGCTCGTAAAGCGCGCTCCCTCGTTCGACCCTTCTGTTCACGTCGTGCGGTCCGCGACGAATTTTGAGGCTTTCAATCTTCATCGATCGCGCCAACTTAATATGATAATAACTGCGTCAGACTGCCTGGTATCGGCCTGGCCGCAAATTCCAGTGTAAATCGGTTAACACGACCGATTAACGCGCGTACATTTGCGAGGATGTCACCGGCGGTTGTGAACCAGCCAGCCTTGCATGCGGTCGCTTTTATCAGGCTAAACTACTCAAGTTTACCGAGTTCACGGTAACTGCACCGCGAAGATTCTCGCGGGAAACTTCGCAGGCGAGCCATCCGTCCGAATAGTGAATTAGCTCTCGTGTGTGTCCTTTTTTTTAATGAAGCGGCTTTAATAACGTTTCAGTTAATTTTAACCCGTCCCTTAACATTCTTTTTTCTTTTATCCTCAATTAGCCGCTTTAATTTTAACGAGATTCCATGCTCAAGATAATTTCATTAAGAATTTAATTATCGAGATATTTAACGCGTTAAAAAAAAAACGCGACAAATGACAGTATCTCACGTCGCTGGCTGAGGAAATATTCGTTTCACACATATCTCGTGTGTACGGAATTACACACCTCGTCCACACTTTCTGTCGTTTTGTCGTAGGTGTCAGCGTCGCGCATGTACGCAATATGACGACATGAATTCAAGGAAGCACGATGGAAAAATGATGGCGTTACACATATCGCTGAATGTAGAGCACGCACTTTTTAGATGTACATCTCGCTGAAGGGGTCTCCTTTCGTCGGGCGTATAAAAACTCGTTCTGGGCGACTCGAAATGCGAGAGCGTGAAAACGTGACTCGTAAATTCGGCCGCAAATTAAGCCGCGGATGACGAAGTGCATTCCCGACATATAGTGAGTTATTACAGTTGTACGTCATATTTCGATGTACCGCAATATTTTCGTGTAGACATTAAACGGATGCATAGTTTCGTGCACAACTAGGTGAGCGGCAGATTTTACGATGGACACACACACACACACACACAAACACACACACACACACATAAACACACACAAACACACACACACACACACAACATACATACGCGCCTGCGCGTACGGGATATAACGCGCGTTCAGCGGGGAAAAATAATTAAACGAGCATGATTAAGTTACATCAAGTTGCGAAATATCATGGAATATCGTAAATAATTCTGCAAGCGGAGAACTGCGTGGAACAAAATCAACGGAAATGGCCTTTTGAATAAAACACAAGGCTATCATTGTGGCGGAATAGAACAATATATAAGTTTCCGCGTAAAATCACTTTGACGTAATATAGAACTTTTAACTGTATTCCTTTATGGAAGAAAAAGAGAGAAAAATGCCACGATAAAACGACTGGTACTTGGCGTCGCTCTCACGAACTCTGCTACGTCTCGAAATGAAGGAGGTATGACTGGGAGCATTTTCACCGGCGAGACCGGCTGAAATATTTCGCGACTCCCCGCATGTCAATACCGCCGTGGCTATAACCAGATATTCGCGAGGGCTTTTTTTTCGAGTCTTTCTAGAACTCACCGAATAGAGCAACAAGTGTTATATTATACGAGAGTTACCTACTCCTAAGTGCGTAGATATGCCTAGAATGAAGCGCCGTTAACCCTCCGGGTGTAGTCCAAGCTCATAGTCGACGAAACCCCCGGCTTAAGGCAACGGCATTCCAGTCATGTATGACCGGCTTAGCGTGAAAACTCAATTTCATTATTACTTGCCCTGCTACGTCTACGTGATTTTTGTTGAGTGAGAGATAATAGCGCGCGTCCTTCATCCTGCAACGGCTCCGTCGGACAAAGAACTGTTATATCAGATCGTGTCATAAATAACTTATTTACTCTCCAATTTATTTTCGCATGTGTGTGTACAATATTTTTGTACAGCTTAATTTTTAGGATATATTTGTCATACTAGCTTAAACTATCTGACATTGCCCGAGTTTTTTATATCTAAATGTCTAAACTTAAATTATTACAAAGCGTCAAAAGAATGAAATCAGGAAAACTCCATCAAATCAATCAAAGAGTTGATAGGGAACGTACAGACAGATATTCTATTATATATATATATATATATATATATATATATATATATATATATATTTTTTTTTTTTTTTTTTATATATATATACACGTACGCGCCCAAATAAATAATATTTTTGCGGCTGAAACTTATTTAATTTTATATGTTTCCATGTGATACTATTTTAGCAATAAAATCAATATATATGGCGCTTTGCTAGAACTTGCCTCCATGTTTCTTTGGCTCGTGTTTAGTCGAGCGA